TGGTTACTCAAGTAAGATAAATATAGAGGTTTAATGCTACCAATAAATTTTTAAGTCAAAGAAAATAGATATAATTCACTAAAAAACAACTCTGAAGTAATTTATTAACACGTTACTGACTGGTCACGAGTCATAGCAATCATATTAGCAGTGACCTCGTGGTGACTATTTTTAAAAGTGGGCGTAATTTTCCTTACTTTTCAAGTTTTACTATTTAATTATCTACCAATTTATTATAACTTTACGAAACCCGATATATTTGCAAAACTTGTGGTGTACCATTACTCGTAGGTGATTGTTATACTTTTTATTATACGGCATTAAAAATTCGAAATTTTTAAAGTTTATATTGTTTTACATCCACATCGGCTTTCTGAACAACAGCAGGGCATATGGGGTTATTCTCAGAAAAGTTGACGGTCAGCAATGTGTTAATTGACAAATAAAAGCGGAAGTTGGGCATCATCTGTACTCTTGCGAAATCTTAGCTATAACTCACTTATTACTTCCAGGTGATGGAAACTGTGGTAAGTGCTAACGACAATGAAGAGGCTTCATCTATGAATCCAGCATTGTCTTGTTTTCGGATCTGGGTCCCTATCCCAGTAGCTACCCCAACAAGGAATTGAATAATCGTAGTGGTAGACACTCTACGATACTTAGCCATCACCTCCTACATTAGAAAGCCTTCTCACGGGATATTATAAGTACACTGGTGTGCAAAACTTATGCAACAAGTGCGTTTTTTTGTCATAACTCTACAAGAAATCATCCGATTGCCATGAAATTTGAATATGATGTACATTATTTTGTGCTTAAACGATGGTAAAAGAATAATGGCGCAGAAATGAGTATAAAGATTAAAGTAGGGTATGGAACAAAAAAAGGCTTTAATTGACATATAGTGGCGTTACACATGATTGCCTAAAGACACGTAAGTACAACTGGCAGATGTTCCCTAGTATGGGATATGCCCTCCCCTTACTGTAATTGTTGCTTGGCATCGTCTCTCCATGCTAAGCACCAGATTATCCAGGAGTTCTTGGGGAAAACTTCTCCATTCCTCCTTTAACGCATCTTTCAGCTGATGGGTGTTACCAAGAGGATACTGTCGTGTCACAAGACGTCTCCCTAATGCATCCCACACATGCTCTATGGGATTTAGATCTGGAGAGTAAGCTGACCAATCCATTCGTGTGATATCTTCACTTTCCAGTAGCTCTTGAACATTAGCAGTACGGTGTGACCAGGCATTGTCGTCCATAAAAATAAAGTCTGGTCAATGGCCCCTCAGAACAGACGCAGATGGGGTAGGATTACCGCATTGCAGCAGCGGTCTCCAGTTACAGAACCTCCGTCGAAGATCTGAAGCTCAGTCCGCCCGTTCAACATAATGCCACCCCAGACGACAACTCCAGGACCAACGTAACGATCTCTTTCCGCGATGTTATTGGGATGAAATAGATCTCCAACTTTTCTCCAGATCAACTGACGTTGAGAATCGCTTGTAGCACTAAAACGACTCTCATCTGTGAAGAGGACGCGACTCCATTGATGAGGTGTCCATGTATCGTTTTCTCTGCACCACTCTAAACGGTGCCGCCGATGTCTAACTTTGAAAGGCATGCAGCGTTCAGGACGTCTAGCAAGTGAGCCACCTTTGTGGAGGCGTTTGGCCACTGTAAATCTTGATACTTGTTGTCTTGTGGCTGTGCACAGTTGCTGAGATATGGCGCTCGCTGACAGAAAACGGTTTTTTTTCGCCTCGAGAACAATGTAACGGTCATCTCTTGGTGTTGTTTTCCTTGAACGGCCACCACCAACCTTCCGAACAGCTGTACCTGTAGTTTTAAAAGCATTCCGATCACGAGAAACAACACTTTTTTTGATCCCGAACTCTTCGGCGACACTGGTCACACTACGCCCCTCCTCAAGCTTCCCAATCATTCTTACTCGAATAAAGTCGTCTAAATGATTTCTTTAAGACATGTTTCACAAAACAAATCACTTGCACTTGCAGCGAATGCCTTTATCATCATCATCGAAATATAACTGGGCGCCTGGGGCCGTTAGCGGTCTTTTTCCCATTCATCTTGTATTTAATCTTTAAGGTGGTTCTTTCTGGTAATTGGAATAAAAGGAAATCAAATATTTTGTATTTTAGTTAAAATTATGTTACTACAAAAATGAGCTGCAATCGGCCTGAGGTTTATGTCTTCTCTTAAGTTTTCGAAAGTAAAAATTTCGTTGAATCCTGCGGTGTCACAATATATGCACTTTGCAATGTGATGATCTAAAAAATCTATGTTGAGGTCGCTATGTATGTTTTTATTGCGGATAAACCATCTTGCTTTTGTTATTTTCCTGAGGATTTTGTTCTGGCATATTTTGAGTTTTTTAAGGAGCGATGTAGAGATGTTACACCAAGCTGGAAATGCATAAGTCATGATGGGACGGATCATCGAGATGTAAAGTAAACGTTTAGGTCAGAGTTCCATTTTAGGGTTCTGAAGAAGGATTTGTAATCTGTGGCAGGATTTTTGTGCTTTGTTTATGACTGTTTTGACGTGATCTTTCCAATTAAATTTGCTGTTTATGACCAGACCAAGATATTTTGCTGTTTTGACTATGGGTATCGTTTCGTTAAAGAGTACAANATACAAATAATCTTTCTACTGAATCACGTGCATATTATACTGCAATTTCATAGCTATCTTGTACTTTGTTGCGGAGCTGTGGTCGAAAAACCACTTGTTGCTTAAGTTTTGCACACCAGTGTAGTTTGAGCAGATTATTTAGAAAGCGAGCCAGTTGTGCACTCGAACCCAAATTCTACTTTAAAGTTCGTTCGTTCGGTGTTGTAGAACTGGGCATCTCACGCCTAAATGGCCCTTTTCCCATTCATCTTGAAATATCCCATGACGGGAACATACATAGGAAAGATATCTACTTTAAAGTAATTGAGAGAAATTTATCATATATATTTGATCATTTAATCTGTAGTGGTCAACAAGTAAATAAGACAAACCAATCATATTCATCATCATCATCGAAATATAACTGGGCTCCTGGGGCCGTTAGCGGCCTTTTTCCCATTCATCTTGTATTTAATCTTTAAGGTGGTTCTTTCTGGTAATTGGAATAAAAGGAAATCAAATATTTTGTATTTTAGTTAAAATTATGTCACTACAAAAATGANGAAAGATATCTACTTTAAAGTAATTGAGAGAAATTTATCATATATATTTGATCATTTAATCTGTAGTGGTCGACAAGTAAATAAGACAAACCAATCATATTCATAAATTAAACAAATATATATATAATATATACATATTCTTGTGATGACGAAATTTAAGTTATTTTTTGTTTAGATTTTGCATTTTACACAAATTATAAGTATCATATGATTTTTTAGATAACTTTATTGCTGTCGCCTCGAGGTGAAACTTTTAAAGAGTGAGAGAAATTATTATTCTACAAGTTTAACTATTTAATTTGCTATCAATTTATTGAAACGTTTGCAGAAAACCGAGCAGTTGACATTCTTGTTAAATGGTTCTGTTTAATGTTTCTAGTTAAACATTAGCGATAAATCTCTTGATAAAACAAAACCATTTATTAATCAAACTTCAGAAAAAATACACGACCAACGTGTTTATCTATCAACAGCTGTCGTACAGCTGAAAGATGAAGAAAGCAGCAAATTGACGTCATATATTTATATGAGAAAATTCAGTATTACTTCAGTTCTCTTCATTCAAAGGAAGTACAATATAGCAGCGCCGTCACAGGAACCATGTTTAATGTGACATTTGCTATTTTATAAAAGACTTAACCTTTATGCAGGGTTCCCAGGGGCCTTAAAAAGTTTTGAAAGTGGTAAGGAAAATAAAACATAAGTCGATATTTAAATTTTTGTGTAACCACCACTAAAAATTATTCTTCAAAGAAAGAAAATATGCATGAAAAACCCAGCTGCTTTATCACTTAACTATAAAGCTGTGCATTAAAATGAGAAATATCTTTCAGCATGTTATAGAATATGGTTATGTATACGCCCCTTTTTACAATGGTGCAAAAGGATCTTTTATAAAAGATAGCGATATACGGTATTTACAATTTAACCATTTCGGGAAATAATAAGTCATAAATGTATTCGTACGAAATCAGAATCAGGATAGTAAAAATAAAAAGCGGTTGCTAAAGTTGATGCATAGCTAATCTGAAAGACCTGTTTTTGCTTTCCATTTAAATTAACACATCCAGTCCCTGTGCGTCAAAAGTGTAACTAAACAATTTTTAATTCGAACTAAGTAGTGATGAATTAAATAAAGCCGACTCTTACTACCCCGTCCACAAATAAAACTGCTATATAAATAGCCGACACTCTGAGAATGCATACATGACTCGCCCGCCTCGAAGAGGTTAAAAAGTTGGCAAAATTCACTGAAAATCTACAAATTTTAGTTTGCAGTTTTCATTTATAGTTTAAGATATTTTGTCGAATCTGGAGGAGTAGGCAACTCTGGTATTAACCTTTCTCGGTTCCTTGTAGTCACAGGGGTGAAAGCGAGACGGAAAAGAGGAAAGGCTGGTAGTAAAATCTTTTCAGTTTTAACTAGTTTTCGGAAGGAGTTAACTTATTCTCTTTAAAACTATTCAACAATATCTATTTTATCCTTGGAAAGTAAGCAGTTTCATAGATAGACTAAAATTATAAAAGAAATCTAGATAGTTACAGATATTTTATTTTTCTCAAGAAAAATGCTAAAGAGAAATTACTTTCGTGCCAGTTTTTGCACTTTTCCGTCTAGCTATATAAGGGCTTTCAGCCATGTGTAGTCATTCTGGAGTGGGGGGCCAGCTCAAGCTTTGCTAGAGACAAGACGTGTCACCGAACTGCCCGCAGCGGAAAGGTTTTCCCTTCCGGCCGCATGCCAACATCAGACTAAGAAGAGACATCTTCGATCGACAAAAGGTTTTTACCAGCCTGATCTATGAACTACGCATTTTACTCAAAGTTTCTTCTAGAACAAACTACTGATATCGTGGAACTTCGTAAGCTGCGAGATTCCATTGGAGAGATTTCTACCTCAACACCAAGTAGATATTACAATGAACTCTTTAACGCAGCGGTGTCCGCAATTCAAACTGTTGAGTCGAGTAAAAAGAAGTCAACTGCCTCAACTACAATGGAGACATCTATCACTGAGACAGCGGAAATCCCTGTGACCATCCCAGAAAGTAGTGTTACTAACCAAATAGAGACAGAGCCCGTTTCCGAGTACAGTGTTCCGAATAATATCACAACTCCTTCCAGTAAAGATCTGAATATGGAGATAGACGAAGAGACACCAGCCTCTGAACCTGAGATCCAAAATAGAAACAACAAAGAACCACCAGCTAAAAAGAGAAAGAAGAAGAAAAAGTCTGCCGCAGCTACAGAAAATGTTGACCCATCCATGACCCAGAAAAGCTGCACTCCTTCGGAATCTCTTTTCAATCCGGAGCCCACACCTATTACTGCATCAGAACCTACGGAGGAGACTACCAACAAAGCCACAGAGCCTTCCACTTCAGTAGAAAAAGCTCAGTCAGTAAAGAATGCTAAAGTCCTCATCCGTGGCCTTCCTGATGATTTTAGTACAGATGAAATATCCCTTGAATTAGGGAAGCGGATCATTGAAATCCTGAAAATAGTTCAGTTTAAGAAGAAAGTGGGTGGAGCCTTTAGGCCCCTCCCCCTGAACCTCATCGTTATGCCAATGCTAGCCAATCACGAGATGATCTACCATATTGAGAGCATCAAGCAGATCCCGATCAGCATAGAGAAATACCACGGCGGCAGCTGGCCACTGCAGTGTTTTCGATGTCAGAGTTTCGGTCACACCCAACGCTCCTGCACCTCCAGCCTAAGATGCATGAAATGTGCCGAAGGGCACTATTCATTCCAGTGCAGAAAGAGCCGAGACTCCCTAGCTAAATGTTGCAATTGCATGCAAAACCACACCTCAAATTTCACTGGGTGCGACGCCCGCCCCAGTCGAACGAGGAAAACGACCAAGGACAAGCCTACTTCTACAGCCCACAGACTTATTAGTCTCATCAGTGAACTTAATGACTTGCTGAAGGACCAAGACGTGCTGCATCTTCTCACAACTTTAATCCAGGGGAATTCCCCATCCAACTGATGTACTACTGAATCAACTCATGCCTCACCTCATCATGGACTTATTATCTGATCCTAACTTAGAACTTTGAACTGCATATGACCTCTAGTCCAAATGCCAAACCAGTATAGATGAATCGGTTAGAAGCGCTTCGTGCTTAGCGCCGAGATTCCACACATATCAATCAATCAATCAATGTAGTCAGTCTGGTGGCACTGCTTCAACAAATATTATACACCATTAGCAATATAAAAATAATTGCCTGAACCATAACCGTAACATAAAATTCCTAATGAAAATTTTTAATGGTTAATTTTTAAGCATTATAATATTTTTACGACATGGTAGTTTGGTTAATTAATATTTGGAGCAAAATTGATTTTTCATTTGTAGCTTCTCTACTAAACTATTTTATAATTATTTCCCCCCAAACAATCAAATGACTCTCAAAAGAAGTGTGTCATACACTTAGGTTGTTAAAGTTATTTGTCAAAGTCTTAAAAGGAGATATAACTGGATTTCATAAAAACTCACTTTTTATGGAAAGCATCAAACTTTAGGCTTTTCATATAAATTTTTATCATGAGTTGGTGGTTTAATTATTTACCATATAGAGCAAAATGGATTTGTAATTTTTAACTTTGACGCGAAACTATTTTACAATTATTTCTGTCCAAACAATCAAATGACTGTTTAAAAATGTGTGGCATGCAATTATAGCGTTAAATTTATTTTAATTTTCTCCAAAGAGGATATAATTGGGTTTCATAAAAACTCACTTTTATGGAAAGCATCAAATTTGGATTTTTATATAAATTTTCATTACGATATGGTAGCATAGTTATATACCTCATAAAACAAAATGGATTTGCTATTTTGTAACTTTTCAACTAAATTATTTTACAATTATTTTCGTCCCCAGTCCCAGTGTTTAGATTTTACTGGGCGCCTGGGCCGCGAAGCGGCCCCTATCCCATTCATCTGTAATTTTTGAACAGTTTTGGTTGAGCAATGAGGTAAGCAGGCAATGGAGTTGCTTTTATGAGTTCAAAAAGTTAATTGGAATAACCTGAGTATTGCTACCACTTCAAATATGAAAATAAAATGTTCCGGAAAATCCGGAAGAGTTGGCAGGTAGGTGCTGGTAGGAGAACTATTTCAATATTAGATAATATTCGGGAGGAGTTAATCTGTTCTCAACAACAAACAATTGAGTGAAATTAATCAATTATTTTCGTCCAAACGATCAAATGACTTTTAAAAAAAGTGCGTCATACAATTACCACGCTGAATTTATTTTTTAAAGTCTCAAAGGAATTGGATTTCATTAAAACTAAATTTGTTTGACAGAAATCAAATCTAGGTTATTTTTATAAAAATTCCAAGGTAATTTAATTATTTTCCTTGTAGAGAAACGTGGAATTGTTATTTTATAAATTCTATACTAAACTATTTTACAACTAATTTTGTCTAAATAATCGATTGTCATTTATAGAAGTGTGTCACACAATTATAATGTTCAATTTGTTTTATAATAATTATAATATTCAATTTATAATTAATAATTATAATGTTCAATTTGTCTCAAACGATGATATAACTGGATTTCATAAAAATTGACTTTTTTATGTAAAGCATCAAACTTAGATTTTTAAATAAATTTACATTACGCCATGATGATTCAATTATATGGAATTCTTATTTTGTATCTTCTCCACTAAAATATTTCTTAATTATATCGGTCTAAGCAATCGAAAGTCTTTTAAAGACGTATGCCATGCAATTATAATGTGAAATTTATTTGTTAAAAGGAAGATATAATTGGATCAAATTCAATCAAATCGGATGATAATATTTCTTCTATTGGAGGTAATATCATTAATGAATGATTCTGAGAAAGCCAATAAAGTGCATATGACTTCTGAGAGCTCAATTTGCAATCGAAATCGAACTGTCAGGCCCAGAAGGAACATTTCAACTTCTCTAATGCTTTTAGCCTTACATGGGAAAGCCAGACTCATCGCATAAGCGTAATTGCTAGGTATCAAATAATTAGATCATTTAAGTAAATGTGCTAAAGATGTTGTGTCATTATTACTTTGAATTGCTTTGTTGACTCATTACTTATACAATGAAGACAATTTATAGTTTTTAAGATAGGATAATTTAGAGCTTTAAGTTTTTTCTCATTATTTAAATATATAGAATTAAGTTAAATGTGTTAAACAAGTTGTTGTCTCATTATTACTTTGAATTGCTTTGTTGACTCATTATTTATGGAATGGAGACATATTATCGTACTAAATATTAGTTAGTTTAGAGAGTTAATATTTCCAATTTTTGGAAAATATTTTTATACATGGAATTAAGTAAATGTGTTAAAGATGTTGTTGTGTCGTTTTTACTTTGAATTGCTTTGTTGACTCATTACTTATACAATGGATACATTTTATCGTTTTTAAGATAGGATAATTTAGAGAGTTAAATTTTTTCTCATTATTTAAATATATAGAATTGAGTTAATTGTGTTAAACATGTTGTTGTGTCATTATTACTTTGAATTGCTTTGTTGACTCATTTATGCAATGGAGGCATCTTATCGTACTAAATATTAGTTAGTTTAGAGAGTTAATCTTTCCCATTTTTGGAAAATATTTTTATACATGGAATTATGTAAATGTGTTAAAGATGCTGTGTCGTTTTTACTTTGGATTACTTTGTTGACTTATTGTTTAAACAATGGTTAGTGTTCTTAATTATCGTGTTTAAGATTAGTTCACTTAGGTAATTAATTTGTCCTCATCTTTTCCTTTCTAAATACGTTTATACATAGAATTCAGTAAGTGTGTTAAATATGCTATTGTGTCATTCTTATTTAATTACTTTGTTGACTCCTTATTTAAACAATGAAGACATTTTATCGCCCTAAGTTAAGTTCTTTCCATCAATGAAAAATATTTCAATAGATGTTGTTGTTATTGTATCACGTCATTAAGGTGAGTGTTGCGATTGTTCTGGCTTTCCAGTGGATCCATCTATGGCCAAGAATTTGATTTCTGTCTCACCCATATGTCACTTACATTTATAGGTCCGATCCATTCATATATCCATTCATTCATCCACAAATCGTAATTTTGACCAGAACCAGAGAACGATCAATCTTTAATTCAGTACCCTCAGATTTATAATTTGTTATGGAAACATGGAGGACTTTGTGACTCGAAAGATTTAACGTGCAAAAATCTCCATCTACTACACGAAGAGTGTTCTCCCTGTCATAAGTTCAGTGCCCTGCCAACCAGGCTATCCCGGTCCGTTTCAATAGATAAAATATATTAATAAAAATAGTATGTTTTATATGTTTGAGATTTATGAAAGGAAAATTTGATTTTTATGAATTTTTAAAATATTATTTGAATTGGTTTCTGAATGGTATAAATTTATATGGTTGAAAAAGGTGAGAAAATATTTTAAAATGTTTTGTCTGCAATGCCTAACTCATGTTTTCCAATTGGAACTCTGGAAGAAAGAAAAAAAGAGTAATGCAGTGAAGTTTTTATTATTTTTTTAAATTAAAACCAAAAGAAATCTGATTTTTAATGTATATTGCCTTATTCAAATAGGTGTATAAAAGGTCAGGCAAATAAATGGAAACGTTTTGTACCTGCCAACTCTCATGCTTTTCAATTTTCTTTTTTTTTCTTCCCGGTTGGGAAACACCCTTTTGATTGAGATTATAAGCTGATTTCGTATACCATGTATATGTTTAAATTATTTAAATGTCATAGGGAAGGCAGAATCGCATTTGTTAAATCACATTTATTCAACGAAGAATATAGTGTTAATGAATAAAATTTGCTGCCACATAAATATAAACTCTTTTGGAAATCCGGAAGAGTTGACAGGTGTGAATTGTTTTGAGATTAGATCAAACTTTTATCAGAATACTATCTGATTGAAAACTTATTATTTCATTTCTGATTTCCCACAGACCTCAGATATTCGTGGGTCAAGAATTGATGGTCTTTAAAGACGTCTATTGAAGATCTTTCAGAAGGTCTTTAACCCCTTGGGGACGGGTGATTCAGAAAAGCATTCGAACAAAATCAGTATCAAGTTGAAATTATACGAAAAACGGTAACTTAAATGTAGTCGTTGCTGACAGACTTACTTTGCTTTTACTTTAACCCTTTGACGGTCAGGGAAATGAGCAGTTTTCGTTTCATTAATTCGCGCAGAATTACGTGCAAACAGTTGTCGAAAGTGGCATCTGTTTTCCACCTCCGTTTTTCCAAAAATGTCACCCTTATCTGGCGACGCCAACTACTCCGTCTTCTGGAATTGTTATAATAAAGTGGTAGCAAATTACGTAATAAATTTCGTTGGAGAAGGACAGCCACGCCTATTTTTTAATAGCGTAACCAGTAGATTGATGTGTTAACGTTGCATTTTATATGTTACTTATAGTTTTTGATATTTAGTGGTGAAAAAATTACTTAAAAGGAAAAATACTAAACTGAAAGTAACTTGACTTTCGCTATCACTCGGAAATACTATTTTACAAAACGGAGCAAGTTGGCATCTCTGGATGCGGTAGATAGCTCGCCTCACGTGTTTTAAAAATTTCTTAAAGTACTCGTAGTACATAAATAACAGTTTTTACGTACTTTTCGTTTTTAACATAGTCAATGCAGAACAATAATGGCGAACGAGCTTAGCTCGTCAGCGCGCATTGGGGGAAAATTTCACTACGCGAGTAGAGCTCGTTACTAACCATTACGGTCAAAATCTTGCTCCCGAGCGGAACTCGTTTGCGCTCATTATGAGGCACGATTCGAATGCGAGCTGAACTCGTTCAAAACCGTCAAAGGGTTAATTATTGTTAGTTTAATCATATATATAATCATTATTAACTCAAAGTATAATCAAACAGTTTTATTTTGAACAAAGTAATGGTGAATTAAATAAATCAAACAATTATAACTCCGCCCGCATATAAACTGTTTAAGAAATACTTTGAT